GAAATTTAGTTTGTTCTGAAGTATGTAGCATTATTTTGAGTGAATGGCCTCATTAGCTCATTTCTGTTTTTTTTTTTAATGTGTACAAATGCTTTAACCTTACCATTGGTCTTTGTAAAAAAAAGTGCATATCCCAGCCCCTTATAATTTAAATTTTTTCTAATTGTAATTCGGTCTGTTTTTTTTTTTAATAATGCTCTGTTACTGTAGTTTTTATATATGCATTATACTGTGTATGCACACTAATAAGTGTTTAGAAATAGCACTACCGCTGTTAATATAACTAATTTTTTCAGGTATCAAAACCCATGACCAAGTTATAGATGCAGATCTTTATAAAGATGGCTTTTCCGGAGGGTGACTCGCTATTTTGTGTCACAGTAAACTGAGGGATTACATGGGATATGTCGTGGAGCATCTAGTATTGTTAATGATAGGGACTCGAGGCCGGGTAGGATATACCATCGTAGAGCAAACATTTGATACAAGTAAGTTAATTTGGAGTGAAAAAAAAATGGAATAGTGATTCTATCCTGTTTTAATTATTTTTTTTCATATTTTCTATGCATTTTAATTTTTTTAATATTCATTTACTATATATTTTTAAAGGGTAATTGCCTTTCATTGTGTGAATAACTGATCAAGGAAAATTGACAGATTACCTTCACATATAACCTAGTGAATGTTATCACAGACCGAAAAAAAGATAAATATATGTTCTATAGGGACATGCCTTGAAGTATGACAGCTGTGAAAATAGATTTTGCTGAACTTGAACTTTGTACAGTGCTTAAGAGACTACTTAATACTAGGCATATGTATCATAGTTGGTTTGATTTGAACTTTGTTTTTTATATTTCAACAGAGGTAGTTAGTGGTTTAGCAGTATCTGAATTAACAAGTTAGGGAAAATACTAGTAAGGAAAACATCAACAGGACAACAATATACCATCTTAAACGAACATGATTTCTCTACCTTCCTTAGAAAAGCTGACATTTCTGTAACAGATTAGATAAGTGCCCTTAATACATATATACGTGTGGTGCATATAGTGTACGTTACTATTATATTGTGCATTATTATTTTTATTATTTTTCATCACTAGCTAATGCCAACTACCTCCAATACTCTATACTTCTTTCTTACTCTTTAATTGCTCATAATTTTAAATTACAAGTCAAATCTTACTCCAAATTAATAATATTCATTATTTTTACCTGTCCATTTAATTTTGTTTATCACTACTTGTTTTTTAGTCAAATTTTCATTGTGTATGCAATTATATATATTCCAATTACTTTTTTGCAAGTACCAAAACTATCTTTTTCTAGTAGATCCCAAATACCTCATTTTTTTTTACTTTTATTGTGCAATAAACTGCCCCAATTTATTTAATATTACAAATCAGATCTTGCTCCTAAACCAATATTATTTCATATTTACCATCTGTCCGTTTAACTTTGTTTACCATTACTTAATTTTAGTCCCTTATATATTTTTCTTTCCCTTTTTTTTAGCTTTATATAACTACCCTAGTTTATATATTCACAATTGTTAAAATAATCAAGGTCTATTCTCAGGTGCTAAAGTAGAATAAGTTCACAATTTTGCCATTATATTCCCAAAACTCATTTATTTGATTACCACTTTATTGTTCACCACAACTTATATTAGTCCCTTTTTTTATTATAATTTTATACTATAATTCTAACTTTAAAGAATTACCTTTATAGTACTACCTACATCATTATTCCCAAGCTCCATTATTTGATCCCCCATTTTTTTGTATTAGTCCCTTTTATTTTGTCTCCTTTATTTTAGTTTAAAAAAAAAAAAAAAAAAAAAAATACCTTAGCTAAATTATTTTACTTTTGTTAAAAAAAATTAGGTGCATTTTTTAGCTTAAGACATTTCCCTTTGTTTTATATTTAAATTTCCCAAAACTTAGATTCACAAAAAAATTTATGTTTACAAGCATTGATCCGGGAAAACAACCCCTTTTTTAAATGACTTAAATGAATAAAAACAGTTACTTTTAATTATTACACGGGAAAATTAAATCAAAGGCAGTTCTCAGGGGCCAACAAAAAAAAACCATAAAATATCTTTAACTCCAATATCAGTTTTCTTTAAGAAAGAATTACGTTTGCCCTCTTTGCATTACTAAACCCTTACATCCCAAAATATGCCCATCATTACCTAATGAAACCGGGGAAAAAGGGCCGGGATATTTACGAGGGTCGATGCCTTTCCTGGTTACAAAAGCCTTACACAATGAGGCCAGAACCAACAAGGGGGGGGAAAAACCCATTTTTACTACTCAGCCCAAACTGGGAATGTTTTCATTTAAAAATTGAAAAGGGAATTAAACATGGGGAAATTTTTAATAGCAAAATTTCTAATCCAAATCCCTACAAAAAACCTCTCACTTTGATAAAATCTACAGAGTTCCAAGTAAAAAACATTAGCAATTTGTAAAAAACCTAGGAAGTATGAAAAACTGAGGCACGCATGAACAAAAAATCCTTATACTCTCAGGTGACTTCAATTTAAATCCCCCCTGCAAGCCCAAAGGACCCGCACGTTATGAATCCCATAAACACACTGAGAAAATTTTATGTTGCTCCCAACAGTAAAAAACCTACAAGATTTTCGAAAATTAGTGTTTCCCTATTGCCCACATCGGGGACCAACACCATTTTCCCCTTTAAAATTAAGGCTTAATTACAGATAATACCACAGCCCACTCCCCATTTTTCCTCATAAAAACTCTTGGAAAAACTCCCCCAAAGACACTACTAAAGTCCCCTTTCAGATTCACAATGAGGCAGCCTTTTAATAACTTCAAAACCCGGGCAGTAGAAAAACATTGACGGCACACGAGTAAAAAAAAATTCTTTTAAGATATTGATGAATGTATTAATAATTTTTTAAAAAAGACCCAATACCCCTATAACAAGCCCCTGCCCTTAAAAAAAACTAAAAAAGATGACGTTTAAAAGACGGGAAAAGTCCCTGGCTTTAAACCCCCGCATTCTCAAAACCCTAAATACAATACCCAAAATTTAAAAAAAAGTACGAAGGGGGGCACATAAACCCGAGACCCCCAAAAAAAGTTACTCGTCCAAACCTAACCGCCTGATAAGAAGGGGGCCAAAAAAAAATTTTTTTTATGAGAACCCGATTATAAAAAATTTCGAGGGGGATATAAAAAAGAACCTTTGGGAAAAAACCCCCCTCAAAAATTCTGGGGGGAAAAAAAAAAGGGTATCACGAAATAGCGAAATAAAAATTAGCAAAAACAGATGAAACCCCAATCCCACCAAAAGAAACAGCCAAAAAGAATTTAATGATTTCTTCTCCAATAGGACAAAAACCCCTTTCCCAAAAAAATCCCAAACTTTAGATACCCCACCAAATGACTACCTCCCCAAAAAACTCCCCAACACAGTTCCTAGCTCCGGGTAACCCATTCGAAGTTCCCTTATTATCAACGGGGTAAAAAAAAGGCAGGAGATTTAAATACCTTAAAACCCTTTTTATACAAAAAAGTGTCACAAGGGTATCACAATCATTGCAAACCTTTAACAAATCAAATTTAATCCCCCCACCTTTTCCCTTTTAGTATCAAAATAGCAAAGGGGACCCCCTCCACAAAGGGGAGGGCCCAAAAAGAGTTTTAATAACTATGGCCAATATCCCCAAATTAACCCCCTCTCAAAAAACTTCCCAAAAAAATTAAATTTAAGAAAAGAAAACTACTCCTACCTCATCTCCCAAAAAAATATCAAAACCCCCGCCAATTTGGTTCAGGGCCCAAAAAAAATTTTGATGCTATTATACCCCATGCTAGAACATTTATAACTGCAATAGAGAAAAAAAAAAGGGGGCCTTTGGGGGATCTTTTTTTGGGCATACGTAAAGCTTTTTTTCGTTGTCCATGACTTGTCCCCCGTTAAAAATTTTGCACTATGGGATAAAAGGGGGACTCCCTTTAAAAATACCCCAAGTCATCCCCGCAAACGAAGCCAATATGTGACGCAAATGGGGGCAAACTCTTTTGCACAACCCAAAATTTCCGTTGGGGTCCCACAGGGAAGTGTCCCTTGGGGTCCCTTCTCTTTGTCCTATACATAAATGAACCCACCCAAAAGCTTCCCCAAAATTTTCAAAAACCCCCACTTTTTGAGATGACCCCTAATACGTCTTCTCCCACCCGGGGCCCAAATCACACTAGCAATATGTAAATTTCCCAATTACAGAAAAATTTACCTGGATGAGGGGCTAACAAAAATTACACTAAACTTTTACCAAAAACCCCCTTTTCATTCAGTTTGGTAACAGAGTACAGATTGTCCCTCTTAACTTTAATGATAAACGGATCACCTATACAAAAGCTAACAGAAGGAAAATTCTTGGGGAATCCACCTGATAATAGACTCAAATTTTCATACACATATACAACAAATTCTAAGAAAATTTCCAAGACTGTGGCATACTATCGAAGATACGGTACTATGCTCCACAGTCAGCCCCCCGGGCCCCTATATCACTCCTTATTTACCCCTATCTCACCTAGGGAAATTTGTGATGGGGCCCACCAACACAATTAACCATCTCAGACCACTAATTACCAACAAAAGGCTGCAGTTAGAATGATAACAAATTTCACTACAGGCAGCACACTCCACCAATATTCAATACACTAAACTTACTCACCATACAAAACATCCATACTTATTACTGCACCTATTACATACATAGAACACTTAACTTGATATTAACCCTCCCCTCAAACATCTCCTTGCCAACCTCAACAGAACACATGACCATAACACAAGGCACAGATCACTCTTTGATGTTCCTCGTGTCCATCTCGCACTATGCAAAAACTCAATGCACATAAAAGGCCCTAAAATCTGGAATTCATTACCTGTAAATATAAAGAAACACTACCTGTTTATAAATTCAAGTCTCTTCTCAAAGATCTTACTCACCCAAAACCAAATAAATACTGAATAACTGAACCTTAAAATTGTATATCTTAAATGTTTCTCACAATTTTTCACATAAATGTTAAACCTAAAAACCCAATCTAACTTTACTATTTTTTAAATACAATACCTACGGAATATCCATACGACTGAATGTACAACAATGCATGCAACCCTATGACTGTCTTTGTAATACTCACTTGTGCTTTATGTAATCTGTTTACATTAATGTTTTATTTACTGATTTCATCATTGCTTAGTTAATCTTAAGTTAATTTTAAGCCAGCCGTAATGCTATGCAAAAGTATAAGTGGCTTTGGGATGCTGCTCTTATTGTATTTTTTTGTACCTCTGTATGTGGTGCTCAAATTGTTAATTTAAAAAAATAAAATTATATTTTGGCACATTTACATAATGAAACTAAGACCATTTTATTTTGAAATTTAAACTTATAAGGAATTTTTGAGTTGTTGGTGGTGATAATATATAGTGT